AAGACTGCAGTGACACAGACAAAGGAAGAGGGGGGCACAGAAACACCCCTGCTTCACAGAAAGTGGTCACAAGAAGAATCTTCTCTGCCTGGAAAAGCTGTATCAAGCTCTAGTCTGCGATCAGTGTCTTCATCATCATCCCAGTGCTCTATTGCAAGCTCCACAGGCTCACTGTCTTCTATCCGGTCCTTTGAATATTCTAGCAGTCACAGGGCACAATATTTCCAAAAACTGCATAAAGAGAGGCAATTCCACTACTCCACTATCAGGTCAAAGCTTAACCACATGGTGGATATCCTATCCTGGAGGGGCCGTGTGCCTGGAAGCTACATGACCCAGTACACTGGCAGATGCAATCTAAAGCAGAGGAGGGACATCAGTGCCAGCCTGCGCAGCCTCCGGGATGTCTCTCTCATGTCTCTCCATAAATGATTGCTGCACTGACCACAGAACACAAGCTCCAGTCTCAAGCTGCAGTCACTTTGTATTTGCTGATTCTTCCACTTCCGTCCAGCACTTTTTTTATTATACTTACACATCACTTTCCAGCACTTTGTTTTAGACTATGCAATGTAAGCAATAAAAAAGAGGTATTATGTGGTAAATACGTTCCTCTTGTATGCATTAGCGGTGCAGATCACTTTAATTCTGGGTAGTTAACCAGAAAACTAAACTTGTTACTGCCTTCTAGGATTGCTAATGCCATGGCTTTAACTTATGTAAACTTGGAAAAATCTTGAGTCAGACTGAACTTGCTCAAAGTGGCTTTGGAGATTTAGCTCATGGGGTTTTTTTCAATATTGGCTGTGGCATGAGGGGAATCAACTTTTACAAAAAGCCATAAAGCCAAATCTATTCTAACTTCTCTGATATGTGTTACTCTTCCACTAAAGTTGTGAAGGGTCTATTGGAGTAGTTGCAGGTTCTTATCTTCAACTATATTCTTCTTCCATTGTTTTAGCCTTCTATAGTGGACTGAGCTAACTAGTTCTTCGGTTTGATCATCCTCTTGTGACTGTGTGTAGATGCATTTATATATATGTATATGTATAAAAGTGTGTGTGTATATATGCATAACCTCCAAAGAGCATCCTTTTAAAACCAAGACCAGGAAGCAGTAGCTTAGGACTGACTCCAAGACAGCTGTACCCATTTCAGGTACAGTCCTGATGTAAAAGTTCCAAATATTTGGAACTAAAGTGATATTGGACCTGTAAGACTGTTAATGGGAATGTATTGGTGAAGTTTTGGGGTTTTGAGCTTCTGAGGGGGAGATGAAGTGATGACTGGAGCTCAGTGCCTTGCTGCAGCATACCTGTTGTATTCTCTTTTGGGATGACTTCAAAGAGCTTTGTCTCTTGTGCAACTTGTTACACAGAATTAAGACTCTTAGTCTTAGCACTGTGAAACGAACTTCTATTTCTGGCTTGATCTAGGAATGTCTGAACCATCTTATGTCTGTTATGAGACCTGTAAAGAGCTTCCTTTGGAGTGAACTTGGTGAGACAATCACAGAGGGCATGTGATAAAGCCTCTCTTCAAACATAAACTGACAAATGCACTACAAAATGTTATTGGTTATGTTTGGTAATATTATTGTACAAGTAACTGTAAGAGTGAAAAAACCCAAACATTTTTCTCTTTAAGTTATCCTGTCTGAAATACTCTGTTTCCTACTCTGTTTATCTTATCACTACTACTTGGTTTGAGGAGATAAAGTGCTGCTTTAGTTATTGAAAATACTTTTGATATTGAATGGACCTTAGGTTTAGTTGCTTTGCAGAGACATTATCTGAATATTTGTTTGCAGTTTACGTGTATGTGTGTGTGCATGTCGGTGCTTGCTGGGTCACTTATTTGAGCAGTGTGTGGGTTCTTTGAGAACTGATCTGTACTGATGTTCTTTAGACCTGCACCCCAGTACTCCAGGGGTGAACCAGACTGAATTCTGCTGAGCCGCCGGATCAGAGTCTGGGTTATGTATGTGTTTCTCATTTAGGGGCAGATGTGTCTAAGAGATGGCACATTTCAGCTGTTGGTTTGAATATTCCCATAACCAGCAATGAGTGAGTGAATAAAGAGAAAGGTGTCCCAAACTCAAAAATGCTGCAAGTGTAGAGAGCAACTTTACTAACTTTGGTATTTCTGTCTCTGAAATCTCTATGGACAAAGAGGCTCAGCTACTTTTATTGCCTTGATTTCAAAGCAGCCACTCCTTCTCTAAAGCTGGAGAGCAGATGTACAGAGAGATGCAGGTGGGGGGAAAAGCTCTGTCTGTGCTTGTTTAATACGATAAGATACTTTATTACTTGATCCCTGGATCTGGAACACTGGGAGCAAAGCAAATTGCAGAGGGTGCAGAGATGCACCTTCAAAGCCAATCTTGCAATGTGTTTTTAAGAGCTCATGTTCAGTAGTGCTTGAACACATGTTAAGTTAACTTGTTTGTTCTATGTGCTTTTTAACTTTATTACACTGTGCAGCTGTTAAGGTACTCTCATCAGAACAAGAAACAGTTTACAAATAAACTCTTTGCCATGGGATTTTCACCTGATCAATTCTGAGCTTTGTTTTCTGTTTATTTGGCATTTTAGGACTGGGTAAGGCACCACTTCCCTGGCATTTGGTGCTTTCCTGCAGAAAATTTCATAGAATCAACCAGGTTGGAAGAGACCTCCAAGATCATCAAGTCCAACCCTACCGTGGTTAATAGACCATGGCACTAAGTGCCACATCTTGTCTCGTCTTGAAAACCTCCAGGGACGGTGAACCCACCACCTCCCTGGGCAGCACATTCCAATGCCTGATTACTGTCTCTGTAAAAAATCTCTTCCTAATATCCAACCTAAACCTCCCCTGGCAGAGCTTGAGTCTGTGCCCTCTTGTCCTACTGCTGGTTGCCTGCGAGAAGAGTTTAACCTCTCCAACCTTAAGAATAGCCTTTTGATCCGGGTTGGGCAGCAGGTCGAGGGCTGGACTTGCTCTCCCTGCTTAAGGTTAGGTTTGCTCTGCCACGGGTTCTTCCGTGGGCGGCGGGAACGCTGCAGGCTCTGCCACCCGCGACTCTCC